CACACTATAAATTTTCTGACACTAAGTATTACTTCACAATTGAAAACCGTCATGTTCATACTGACCTTTTGGATGATTGCAATAATCCTCTACTATGTGTTAAATGAGGCAGTGATAACCCTGCACCAAATTGAATGACTTAATGCATTTTCTGATTCTTTTCTGAGTAAAACATATTTTAAAGATTAAAGTTTCCTGTGATTGTGAACAAACATACATACAAACAGTTGTGAATTTGAATTTTTAATTATGCAAAGCTAGAACATTGAAGGATGGGCAAAAGAATTATTCTTTGTCAATTATATGTTGCTAAATGAGACCACCATCAACTGATTGCTTGGAAAATCAAAAAAGTCAACAACATTTTTGACTAGTCTACATATATTTAATCAACATCCATCTTCTCTATTTTAACCACATTGGCTCTTGCTTATCTTTTCAAGTCATTTCTTGCCATTTCTTAAACTTACAAGTCATATTCATCTTCAGAGTCTTTGAATTTATTCCTCTGTCTATAATGTAAATTCCCTGGGTGAATGCATGGCTCACATCATCAGTCTTAACTTTATACAGTTTTGCTCAAGTGTAATTTCCTCAAAGATATAAGTCCTTTATCTGAAAAACCATCACTGTCTCCTCAGTTGTTCATCATTCCTTGGTTTCTTGCTCTGTTTATTTTTTTCTCCCTACAGTTACCTGTCTTTACATCCATGTGGAAAGTGCTTTTGTCTGTTTTCTTCTCTGATGCATCACTACTGCTACAACAGAAACTCACACCAATATAGAGTGTCGATAATCATACCTTGAAGAACTAGCTGAGTAAGTAAATGATGTATGAAATGATTGATTGAATGAACAACAAAATTATGTACGGGGCATGTGTTCCAGATTCTTTGTCATACAGAATGAGAGAATTGCAAGCAGGTGGTCTTCACTTACATTCTATTTCAGCTGCTTTGTTGTAGACAAATTTGGGAGAATACTCCTATACTTTGTCAAGGAGCTATCGCTTTCTTACTCAAAACCAACTAAGGGGCAACCCTCTCAACCACATCCAAGGCTCACAATTCAAAGGACTGCTCTGTAAAACTGTGCATTTTCAAAAGCATACATATGAATAACAGTAAAAGCAATACCCTAGTTTCCAAAGTGTTCAGAGGTACATGAAAAGAGTTTAGTGCTAATTAAGTCAGCATTTTTGGATTGAGAACCAAGCATTACTGTATGACAAAATGGAGAATCCAGAAAGCAAAACATCAATGGTAAAAAAAAATATTGATTCTTGTTATCAATGGAAAGTTGCTTTGGTAGATTTTTTATAAAGCACTCAATATATTAATATATATCTACATTCTGTTGAATAAACCCATTTGAATGGAATCAAAATTAGTGTATTCTAACAGTGCATAGATTATAATTTTGCCAACACTTTTATTTAGTATACTTAAGAGATTCATTTCTATTTGCTTAAACTATACTACCTGATATGAATATAAAATAAATGCTAGTTTTAGTACATATGTCAAAATCATATAAAGTAGTCATAGATGAATGGATATCAAATATTTTCACATTTATTCTTATACATTACATTCTTACATTTAGTTGAATTATATAAGCAATTCAGTTTAGGAACACTTGGTATTTGAATATTTGTTTTGAAAACTGCAGTAGGAAGCATTTTAAGGCCAAATAATGTTTTGAGGTAGTTTTTGAATTACTATTTTTATCTAGTAATTGCTAAGAACCTTTGTACTGTTGATTATACCACTGTATTCAAAAGTGACGGTAGTAATAAGATTTTCAGTGTCTTATCAGAGAAGAAACTCACAGCTCAGTTGATTCAGCAACACAAACCAGCAGTTTAACAGTCAATATTTGATCATGAGGAAAGGAAGAAGTGAAAGAACTTTTTAAGGTAAAAGGAAATTATAGAAGAAAGGCCTTAAAGACTGGAAACGGTAGAATCTAAGACTTCAGGAGAGTCAATGTAAGGAAGAGGGGATGGAGAAATAGGCTTAGGAAAGTTCTATACAAAGAAAATCTTCATGAGCTTTATTTTAAAGCCAGCAGTTGAAGTTTGGTGCTTCCTCCACTCTTACATTGATAAAGTTCCACAAGGAACTCATTCCCCAAATAACTTCAAAAAATTATACAATCTAAATGTAAACATCTTCACTGAGTCCATTATGGCATCCTTGGTTGATGTTGCTTTCAAATTATGGAATTTGAAAAGCTCAGAATTACCTTTTATTTCCAAAATTTACTAAGAGTGTGCAATATATTTTAAACTTTAAATTCATGAAGCTCCCTTAGGATGGATCTTCTAATCTCTCCCATAGTTGTATCCTTTTGCCTCTGAATCTGTCCATTTCTATACAATCACAGTGGTGTGTTCTAACCATGACTCAAAATCATTTTCTCCTTCTCTTTATGTGGCAGTACCTGGACACTTGGGCAGATTCTCAGAATTAGTTTGAATGAGTGGTTCCAAAGCTGGTTTAATGTCGATCTATAGTTGCTATATAAGCAGCCAAGGATTCTGATGTGGCTGGCATTTAGTGACAGGTCTTTAAATAGTAAGACCTGCCACTAAGGTCTTACTATTAAGACTTACTTTAAATAGTAAGACCTGCCAGAGTAACTGCCCCCGCCTCCCTCCCTTCCTTCCTTGAGACATCTTACTCTGCCGCCTAGGCTTCCGTGCAGTGGAAGGATCTCAAATCTCAACAACTTCCCCTTTCCCCCACCTCCCAGGTTTGAGCGATTCTCATGCCTCTGTCTCCCAAGTAGCTGGGACTATCAATGTGTGCCGCCACGCCAAGCCAAGCCAATTTTTGTATTTTTAGAAGAAACGAAGTCTTGCCATGTTGGCCAGGCTGGTCTTGAACTCCTGAGCTCAAGTAAACCAGCCGCCTCAGCCTCCCAAAGTGCTGGGACTACAGGCATGAGCCACCCAACATGGCCAAAAATAACAGTGTGATTAGGAAGGTTAGATTGCCTAAAGAAAAATTTAAAAACATTTGCATGGATAGTTTCCTTTAGATTTGTAAGACAAGAATGATTAAAATACTACATTATAATATCTGGCAAAGGTTCATTTGATCACGATATATTTAGAAATTTAATGCAAAAGAGAAATGCAAAACATTTATTCTCTAGATCAGTATTTATATTTCTTGTGATGACACATAAATAACTCTGGCAGCTTTCTGTGTAGTTGGCAGTTTGTACAAAATATACCAAGGAGGGAGCACAACATTACTACACTATATCACGTCATTTTCTTCTAAAGCACAAATATTGAATTTTCACCACATGCTACTGTACAGCAATGCTATGGCAACATCTTTCTAGAGTTCCTAAGCTCCTTTGAAAAGTAGGATCTAATCAGCACAAAAGGAAATAAACTATCATCATTGCTGTTGCTATAATTACCTAGGTGGCAAAATAAACTCTACACAGAAACACACATTAAAACTAATTTGCTTAGGAAAACTAAATGTTTTATTTCAGCTCAGCTAGTATTTTTAAGTGAAATGGTTAACATCTAGATACTAAACTGTTGATATATCTTGTATGATGTTCACTGACTTTTTATTTCTGGTTAAAAAGGTTAACTGTTTTCACTGTGGAGCATTTAGAAAATATTGATTTGTTTTGTGTAAAAATAATTAACTATAAGCATTGTAAGACAGAATCTGTTCTGTATATATTTTACTTTATAGTATTTTGATTTTTTTTCTCTACTGTAGACACATTTGGAATTTAATTCCAACTTACATAAATTCATCTTAATGACTGTAACTCCATATGATTTTATTATCAATAAAGATAGATTTTAAAAACATAATTGAAATGTTCACATTTTTGATTACTTAATGTGGCAAAAAATTTATCGACACTTAAATTTGTTTAAACGGAGGCCAGCAATACTGTAGATGTTTTTGAGTCATTTCAAAGATGGTGCAGGAATATACACCTGTGTCAATTCTTTAAATAAGTAAAAGGAACATCTATAATGTAGCACAATAAATCATGGAAAAGTAAACTGATGCAGGAATTGGCTCTACATGTTTTCAAAGCACTTGTAGATGTACAGGCAGAATTACAAGAAAAAGTCACTTTCTAATAAGACAATTGACATAATTATATTGTAAAAAATATAAAACTGAATAACATACTTCAGAAGAAATATTAAGACAAGCTTAATGGAAGAGTCTATCATGTAATTAGCAGACAAAATGAGCCATAGACCACATTTACATACTTAGTTAGAAATAGAAATAGAGTCCCAAGAGATAAACATTTTACTCCTACACAGTTGAGTAGAAAACACTTTAAATATTCCCACATTAAAGTTTAGAGAGTCGAGGTGGCTGATGTAGAAAAAAACACTAATGATAAGTAACAAAGGTTTTTCCAAAGAAGAACTTCATATGAATTAGATATTAATCGTTAATTACTTCAGACAGCCCAAGTGAAAATTTAGACTTCTTTCTCTGCTCTTGGCCTTATTTCATGTTCTCGCTTTCTAAGCACATTCAATTTTCCTGTTAATCAGTCACAATCACCATGTCCAGTCTACCACGGATCTAGATCCTTATCAGATCCTGGTCAGTGTAAGTTAACAATGTAAGGCTTATTTTGTGATCCACTTCTTTGGAGAAGTACATTGTGTTTCTGTTAGATGATTATAAACATGATCATGAACTTGCAGCCCATGTCAAGATGCATTCTTGAGCTGACTCTGAATCAAATAATTTCTTCCAAATCAAAACTAAATATATCTATTCATCAAATGAGGCTCCTATAACATATTCCAAGTAAAACATGAATTTCCAGAGAATCACATAATCTAAACCCATACTAGAAGGGAATTATTCATGACTTTAGGTTGAAACTTTCATTTTAATACCTATACTCGTAGCAGATTGAGAATTAAAATCTGAAGAAAATCCTCTTAGATAAGACATTTGTAAAATAAAAAAGTCACTCACCATTCCGACTCTCCTCATCAATAGCAACTATAGTAGCTGGTGGTCCTCCCCTAGCTAGTTTGCAATCTAGAGAAAGAAAGTAACCAAACGTAAGAATTGACTCCAGGGGCACACACATTGAGAAAAAAGTCATTGAGATGTATATTAATATTTAAAAAGGAAAATCTTGCAACCTAACTAATATGCATCATTATGCACACATTTAACATTATATTATTTAAAAATATTTTATAATAACCACATAGATTCCTGACCAAATCAAAGTACAGCCACTTTGTAATTACAAAACTACTCAAATTTTACTGAGAAAACACCAGCAAAGACCACTGGAGAGCAGAAGTCTTTCAGGACAGAGATAATGGAATGGAAATTTAACCCAAAGAAATAACATAAAGGGATGATTAACAAGGATAAATTGTAATTAAAGCATCACAACAGCAACAAACATAATTGGACTTTAATTGTGATAAAGGTCTAATTAGAGAGAGTGAATAGAATTTTAATAATGTTCTAAAGAGAATAAAACAAAGACAGACAAGCAATGCTCATGAGGTTGTTCGGGGGTTTAATTTTTGTCATCTTACCCTCATATTGCCAGTCTGGAGTCAAAAGTATAGAGTCATCAATGGAAGCAGATCAGAAAAATGGAAGAAAGAAAGGAAGAAAGAATATATGTATATTTTTAGTGAGAGATTTAAGGATATAAGCAGCATTATACAATAACATTATCTAATGATGTGCTGAAACAGAATATATAAAACCTTTATCAGATTTTGTAATTCTAATACATATTAATACATTCACTGGATAATACACACCATCAACATTTAAAAGCCACTATAAAAAGGCTTCAAAATAACATAAAGTAAATTGATATGTTTTTTATGAAAAGATAAATACGAATTGTTTCTGAACAGTCTTATCTGTATGCTGAAAAAAACTTTAAGAATAGTGCCTGTCAATCAGCAGCGATGATTAATTTGTTATTTCACAATATCCTGCCAGGTATCACATGGTCATGAACATAAAAATAGTGTCATGAGCTATAATATCCATGATAAATGAAATGTGAAAGCTTTGCCGATAGGATGCCCAATGTCCGTCTCTGATACGTAGAGTATGCTCCTAGGAATTGAGACTGAGAGGGCCCTGTCATGCAGTTATTCATACAGGACACACTCCTGTACAGCAGTGCAAAGTAATTTTGCTTAAAGTTTTTCAAAATTCATGTGTTATCTGGAAAATGATTTTCAGGTTTATGTACTTCTTTATGAAAATTCTGCCATTTATTCTCCACATATACATGAATAATTAGGCCTTTGGTAAGCACGTTCTGTATTATAAGTTGTGTACTCTTTCATATGAAGCAAAGAAGCTGGAAGATCTACAAATTTTCTCTCTTTATACCTGTGAATATTCAAGAAATTGCAAGTTATAACATTTTTAGATCTAAAATATCTCATACTCATTAAGCCTCTTCCTCTCCTCATGTCCTCCTGCAGTGCTCAGCACCACACTATTTGCCACCTCTGGTCTTGATTTAGTTTCCTCGCTGATTTCCCAGAAGTCTTGTTCTCATCCTGCGTTCACCTGTTCCTTTCATCAGAATGATTTTCATGTACCCAAATCAAAAGTAAAATAACGGCACCCTCTGAACAAAAACCTTACATGTTTCTTTTGGGGAAAGGAAAAAAAAAATCAGAAGAACAAAGTTTCTTCACATGGCCTCAATATCCTTTATTGAGAATTGAGCAATCCGTCCTTCAATTACATGAATCCTCTTACCATTGCTGGAATACACCTTGTATTTTTAGAAAAATTTTGTTATCAAAATCATTGTTGTCTTTATTTCTGTCTAGCAAATATTGGCTTCTTTTTGTAGAATTAGATATTTCACGTAGTTGTACCTAGCGCAAATTAATTTTGATTAAAGCCTTCCAAATTTTTGTGTTACTTGAAAAATAATTTCAACATTTCTTTAATTTTTATAAAATTCTGCTAATTATTATGCACATAGAAGTGAATAATTAGGCTTTAGAAAGCACTGTTCTGTATTGTAAGATATGAACTCTCTCATATGTACTTTCACACACACACACACACACACACACACACACTCACTTCACTGTGTGCCAATGCCATAGTATCTACTGAGAATTGATAATAAGTACATACTTTAGTGTGAATATTGGTAGAGGAATAAATATTTAATCAATATTAATATTCAATCAACATTTAATTCTGCTTAATTCAATATTTAAGCAGAATACAGAAAAATAAAAGAAGGGGGAATTTGGATATAAATATTTTAAAACCTTTTTCCAGTTTGTCACTATTAACTTCAAGGTAGGCTTTATGCATCTAAACCAAATAATACCTTCATATTCCAGCCTTTCCTGACTCTACCTTTCTGATTCTCAAAGTTAATTCTCCAGTCATACCAAACCAAATTTATGTTTGTTTCATCAACTGCCAAAACATACTCTCCACTCTTCTTCCTCTGGTTAATTTTATTCCTCATACAAGAATCTGCCTAGGCATCACCTCTTCTTGAAAATCTTTCTCAGTACACACTGAATCCCATTGGACTAATTGCCTCACTGGCAAAATACTAATGTGTCTTTCTTTTTTACAAGAGCTCCTTCATACCAAGCCTGCATCATACTCATCTTGGTAACCTCAGAACCTGATACTGGACTTGTAAGAATGTTGACTTTTTCTAAACTGTAGTCTTCCAAGCCACAAACTTAAATTAAAACCACTCCATAAGAGCTGCTCAGAAGTCTCTGTCCTCACTAACCCCTCAATAGCAAAAACAGCCCAGAAGAAGCTCCTTAACTACATTTCCTCCTGCTAGAGGACCCTTAGATACCTCCCACTAAGCTTTATTCTTCTACTAGTTTTCAAATCCTCCCCAATCAAACATTTTTAAATTTACTACAGATACTTCTGGCTAAATACAAAAATAATTTAAACTCTTTATATATATGTGTGTGTGTGTGTGTGTGTGTGTGTGTGTGTGTGACACACACACACACATATATGTGTATATATATATATAATTGCACTTTAGATTCTGGGGTACATGTGCAGATCATGCAGGACTGTTGCATAAGTACACACATGGCAATGTGGTTTGCTGCCTCCATCCCCTCATCACCTATATCTGGCATTTCTCCCCATGTTATCCTTCCCCAACCTCCCTAACTCTGCTGTCCCTCCCCTAGTACCCTCGCCAACAGATCCCAGTGTGTGATGCTCCCCTCCATGTGTCCATGTGTTCTTATTGTTCAACACCCACATATGAGAACATGTAGTGTTTGATTTTCTGTTCTTGTGTCAGTTTCCTGAGAATGATGGTTCCCAGATTCATCCATGTCCCTACAAAGGACACAAACTCATTTTTATGGCTGCATAGTATTCCATGGTGTATATGTACATTTTCCCTGTCCAGTTTATCATCGATGGGCATTTAGTTTGGTTCCAGGTCTTTGCTATTGTGAACAGTGCTGCAATGAACATACATGTGCATGTGTCTTTACAATAGAACAATGTATAATCCTTTGGATATATAACCAGTAATGGGATTGCTGAGTCAAATGGAATTTCTATTTCTAGGTCCTTGAGGAATCCCCACACTGTCTTCCACAATGGTTGAACTAATTTACACTCCCACCAACAGTGTAAAAGTATTCCTATTTCTCCACATCCTCTCCAGCATCTGTCGTCTCCTGATTTTTTAATGATGTCTCCTGATTTTTTAACTGGAGTGAGATGGTATCTCAGTGTGGTTTTGAACACAAAATGAGAAGAGGTTAGCCAGACACATAATAAATAATCTACTAATAACATTGTTCGTAACAAAGTGTTTTAAAATGATGCATTCATGAAAGTATAATTAATTAGTTTTGAAGTGCACAAAAGCATTTTTAATAAGAACAAGTATATTTAGAATGGTCTGAAAAAGAAATTAATTTGGGATGTAATAGCCAAGGATATATTATGTATGCAAAATATCCAAATGTAAATCAATGGGAAGGCTAGAAAGCAATTTGGAGGATGGGGAGATTTTACTCTATGGTCTGTAGATAATCTGTCTGCCACAGGAAAGTCAGGTTAGCTGCTGATACCTGTACCTTGGAAATGGACCTTCTTAATCTATTCAATTTCACCCTTGACTGTCCTGGTTAAATCACCAATTCATTGTTTTTCATGCCTAAAGTTTCTAACCTCTTAGGCCTCTACTCATTTTCCATATCCAATTTATTGTAAAGTACAGGATATGAATACCAATACCTGAGTGCTCGGTGTGGCTTATTTCTGCAAACTTGTCATAATGCTAAAAATAAGCCATATATTTAAATATATTCATATGCAATAGATGGGATTTAAAATCCAAAGAGATGAGTTAAAAAGACAAATAATTATTGATCTCACAGATACTAAACCTGTGATACTCTGTTTGCATTGTAGCCTGATTAAGAGCATTTTACAGACAGGTCAGACAAAGGCAATAATGTAGGATTTTCCAAATATGCTCATTTCTTAACAATGAGAAGGAGCAGCCAGGAATTATAATCCCCACTGTCGCCTTTTCCCAAAATGTTCTTTTAAGGTTGACCAATGTGTTTTCAATAGAATTTTGAAACTATTTCCTTTTAAAAATATATTAGCATAGTAACTGCCCCGATATGTTAATAACTTGTATACTGAATTTCCTACCCAGATTTCTCTTCTGAGCCTGGGTCTATTTGCACAGTCAACTTCTGTACTTGAAATTTCAAAGTTGTCTTAACATAGCACTCCAAATTGCATCCCAGTTGCTATCATAGTCCAAAATGGACATTTTGGTGCAGAACTGTACCATTCACTGAAATAATATATAATGAAAATGTCCATTATATATAATGTAAAATACAAATTATTATTGATATTAATAATGTCCATTATTATTATTAAATATAATGGAAATGGCCATTATATATTAAATATAATGTAAAATATAAATTATTAATATATTTAAAATAATATTTAATGGACATTTCCATTATATATTATTTCAGTGAATGGCACAATTCTGCACCAAAATGTCCATAATATATTACTATTATATATAATATACAAAACACCAAATATATATGATATATAAACACCAAAATGTTCATAATATATTTATAATATATACATGTCAATTATATATTCATAATATATTATTAAATGTGTAATATATAACAGAAATGTCCACTATATATTATTAAATAATATATAATGGAAATAAAAATATATAATGGACATTTCCATTATATATTATTTCAGTAATGGCACAATTCTGCACCAAGCCACATAAGCCAGAAACCAGGAAGTCACATTTCCCTTTACCCATCTTTCTAGCACTCCAAAATGCATTGATCATTAAGTCTTGAATTTAATTTCTAAAGAAAACACGTCATATCCACCCAATGCTTTCAACATGCATTGGTAGCAGGCTAATCCTATCTCTTAGCTAATCAAATAGGTTTTCCTAAGCTCTCCTTACAGTCAATCTTGTCCTTACTCTAATTTAATTTTCTATGTTTAAGCAGAGTAGTTGTTATAAAAA